ATGTGAGTATCAGTCACATGGAGGCAGTGCTTAAAAGCCTGAATTTAGCCTGAAACTCTCAGACTGAAGAAGTCTCTTGGAGGAGAGACGAAACGTTTTATTAAAGAAGAACCCGTCCAGAAGACCTACACAATTTTTTTCTTTTTGATTTTTTACCTGGATTACTGAAATGCATCAGGACATTTTCTGGAACCATAAACAGGAACGTCTTTCCTTTGTTTTTATGTCTTTAATCCACTTTGGAGTGATTTTTTTCCACTTGGCTGGACCTGTACGTCTCCTGTGTTAATGTTGGTACATGTAATATGCTAATTCTGTACTGTGGAGATCATTAAGAGTCGTTGTCGGGTGAATTTTTTTTTTGCCAACACTGTGTTGACCGTGAACCAGAAGTGGTGGGAGTGGCATCACGTGCTGGACCGGATGTCCGTGGCATAAAGGCTATTCAGAGTTTGCGGGACTCTGATCCAGAACCGCTCTGCATTCTGGGGGATGTAGGCACAGGAAAGGCTTTAGCTGATTGGCCTCTCTCGGCCCAGCTAAGCAAGGTTGGTGGCATCAACTCACTCACTCACACTTAACTGGCAACAACGTGTTAACACATCCCCCCAAACCCAGTCGAGGCAGATGGTCCTGTCCTGAGCCTGGTTCTGGTTCTGCTGGACCTTACTTCCGGTTTAAAAGGGAGTTTTTCCTCTCCACTGCCACCAATGTGCTGCTCAGGATGGGAGACTGTGATGAAGTGAAGCTTCACCACAATCTGCTGGCTTCTTTACATTGTTTTTTGTGTTGAGTGACCTAAGATGATGTTTGTTGTGACTTGGTGCTATATAAGTAAAGTAAATTGAACATGTGCAGTAGCAGTTTCATGTTTAGCCACTGTGCCTCAGAACTGCTGAAAAATAAGAACATGGAGCGAACGAAGAAAATGAGGCATCAGCTCGAGTGAAAACTGGATCAAAGAGGAAAGGTCACATCACCAGTTTGTTAGGATTAATCAGCTTTTTTTTCTCCTGCTCATTATTTCAAACATGAAAAAACAAAAAACCTAATCAATAATTATCAACTGCTTATATCCTGATAGTTTTCAGCCAAATCGCCCAGCCCTTCTTCAGAGTAACAACTGCAACACAGGAAAATAATCCCATTCAAGATGGTAGCCAGAACTCATCCACATTCACCAAAACAAAATTGATACTGAGACTGCGCCTAACATTATTTTCAAGTTTGATCAAAATGGCTACAACTCAGTCATCTCTCAACGTGAAATGATCTTAAAGGGATCCCCGATTAGTTGTAACATTGGACTTTATTTGATAAACATTTATTTTAACTGTAGAATAAAGACTGTAAAAAATACTGTAGGATGTTTAGTTTTTATCATTTTTAAAAATATATTTTAACACGGACGGAGCCATTTTATTTACABGCAAAGCATTCTGGGTAAATGATGACGTGGATAGGTTCTCAGTGCGAGGCTGCTAG